AGTTGTGGGGTGAGGGTTTGACAAGAAATTTCAATTGATAGAGAGGAAGAACGAAACAATGAAAGAATGATCGCGAAAAAATTGTGAAAAAGTTGAAAAAGTGGAGTTAGTAGTAGAACGAATGTACCACTGTTGTCGCTACTACTGCTACTTCTACCACTACCATTACTACTGCTGCTACTATTACTACTACTACTACTACTGCTACTACTATTACTACTACTACTACTGCTACTACTACTACTACTACTGCTGCTACTACTACTACTACTACTTTTACCACTACTCCTTTACTCTTTCTCTCTCGTTCATTCATCCAATTTTTTATTCTTTCTAACTTGCTTTTCAACCATTTCTAAACTCATCTCTTATATTATGAATTTTAGTAGTAGATTGAAGAAGTAAAAGTAGTTGTAGTAGTAGTAGTAGTAGCAGTAGTAGTAGCAGTAGTAGTAGTAGTAGTAGTAGTAGTTGTTGTTGTAGTAGTAGTAGCAGCAGCAGCAGTAGTAGTAGTAGTAGTAGTAGTAGTAGTAGTAGTGTTGTAGTAGTAACAGTTACTTCAGCTTTAGCACAAATTTGCATAATTTATTCATAAACAAGTGTTTATGGATTTATGTAGATGGGGTCCCATGTGACATTAATGGAAGAAGAAATAGATAGAAATAAAGAAGATAAAAAATTTTCAAGATAGACAGACGTTAAAAATGGAGAAAAAAAAGGAAGGAATAAACTATTTTTATTGTGAATAATATAAATGTGTGTATCTACATGCGGGCGTCTATGTGTGTGTGTGTGTGTGTGTTTGTTTGTGTTTGTTTGTTTGTGTGTGTATATTTATGAACGTATGAGTATATATATATATATAAATATCAACTTATTTATCTAAAGAAACTTATAAAAATTATGATATTATTAGTAATACTTGTAATGGAAGTATGTCAGTAGTAGTAGTAGTAGTAGTAGTAATAGTAGTAGCAGTAGTAGTAGTAGTAGTAGTAGTTGTAGTAATAGTAGTGGTTGTAGCAGTAGTAGTAGTTGTAGTAGTAGCAGCAGGAGTAGCAGCAGCAGTAGTAGTATTAGTAACAGTAGTAGTAGTAGTAGTGGTAGTATTAATAAAAGAGGAAATGTAATTTTTATGCAAGGGAACGTGGAGGCGATGAAATTGATAGGAAATTGTCATTACAACATACTTTATATCTCAATTACTTTCTCTACTACTACTACTACTACTACTACTACTACTACTACTACTACTGCTACTGCTACTACTACAACTACTACTACTGCTACTGCTACTACTACAACTACTACTACTGCTACAACAACAACTACTATTACTACTACAACTACTACTACTGCTACTACTACTACTACTACTACTATTGCTACATAGATTGAATCGAACATATACTTAATCAAGTTTACGGTTTTCAAATGTATTAAAAGAGTTGCCCCTAAATATTCAACCGACAGAGTCATTCCTAGAACAATGCCACTACTGAGTCAAACATTTCGTTCTGACGATTTAGGTTTAATGTTTGTACCTGACACAAACTCGGCTCTTGGTCGAAGGAGTTTTTCCTCAATGCTGCTGTCTGGAATGGCTCGCCTAGGGACCTACGTGATCTTGCCTTGCCTGCTATTCAATTTCGTCGAAGGCTGAAACACCATCTTCTTATCCAGGCTTCCCCCTGCTAATGTCTTTTCCCCTCCATCCACTGCATGGCTCTAATAAAGGGCTACGTAGTGTACTGCAATAATCTTTAACACCCCTGAGATCTATTTAAAGGGACGCTTACCAAGACACCAATAACAATGATGATAATAATAATAATGATGATGATAATAATAATAATAGTTAATAATAATAATGATAAAAATGGAAATACTCTACAAAAATTTTTTCAATAAATTGAGCGGAAGGGATATTTCAAATTTTATTGACAATAATTTCATATTTATTGGTGTATGTCTGTATGTCTGTTTATATGTTTGTTTGTGTGCCAATGTATGTATGTGCGTGTGTGTATGTATGTGCGTGTATGTAAGTATATGTGTGTATGTATGTATGTTTGTATGTATATATGCATGTATTATTATTATTATTATTATTACGGAAATTTATAAACAGTGCTTTTTTATTGTTGAATCTCAAAAGTAAAATGTATGTATGTATTTATGTATGTATGTATACATGTATGTATTTATACATGTAGTATGGTATGTATGTATGTATGTGTGTGTGTATAAATGCGTGTATGTGTGTGTGTGCGTGTATGTGTATGTGTGTGTGTGCGTGTGTGTGTGTGTACTAAAAAATTATTTGCATTCGTTCCTCAATAAAGAACAATACATGAAATTTTAATGGTCCCTAGGGTATAAATCATATTTAAACAAAATTATTCATACAACCAATTTTGTTTAAATATTATTACAACCATTACTATTATAATTACATAGTGTAATGAAACTGAATAATAATCAATTAGCAATGATAATAATAATAATGATATTATTACTCATATACACACGCATACATACATATACATAAACATACAATCAAACATATATACAAACAAACATACATGCAAACAAACGAACCAACATACAAACAAACAAACAGCCATTCCTACATACAAACAAGTGAACAAACATACAAACAAGCCTATATACAAAGGAGCATGCAAACATAGGCACGGAATTTAAATTTAATTAAAACTTAAATATGTTTCTCCTGCGCATGAAGGTAACAATGGAATTTTTAGATTTGCCCAGCCATGCTGAAGAACGTGAGATAAAGAAATATAAATGAGTAAGATAAATGAACAAAATAAATGAGATGAAGAGAGAGAGAGGGAGAAAGGAAGAGAGAAAGGAAAAGAGAGAGAGAGAGAGAGAGAAAGGAAAAGAGAGAGAGAGAGAGAGAAAGAAAGAGAAAACTTGATCAAATATGAACAAATTAAATGCGAAAGAAGTTAAAAAACAAAATTTTTATTTTAACTCCTTCCCCGTGCCTCATCCATTCAGAATATTGGCGACAACAGACCTCCACAGAAACCTCATTTGCAGTAGAAAATTTTAATTTACAGAAATGAAAATTGCAACAACTGCTGCTACTACTGCTACTACTACTGCTACTACTACTGCTACTACTACTACTACTACTACTACTACTACTACTACTACTACTACTACTACTACTACTACTACTACTACTACTAGTACTACTATCATTATTTAAATTATTTTTTATTATTATTATTGTTGTTGTTGTTACTTTTTAAAAATTTAATTGGACGAATTAAAAGCCCATTGTAACAGCGCGCGCACTCGTGTGAAAGCTTATTTAAATGGAGAAAAATATTTGAGAAACTAAATAATAATAATAATTATAATAATAATAATAATAATAACAGTGATAACAGCAAGAACTTGATGACGACACAAAAGATACTAAATAAAAAAAAGATAACGTCTATTTAAATTTCTGAGAATGTCTAATTTAAGGGAGGAGAAATTTTATTTATTTTTTATTCTCAAGGAAATTAATTGCGCTGAAGAATAAGCGGAGAATGTGATGACATCAACTGTGGTGAGAAGTAATGAGAGGAGAATGAGAGAGAGAGAGAAGGAAAGAAAGAAAAATGAGATAAAACAAAAGAATGGACGGGAGATAGAGAAAGAGAGAGAGAGAGAGAGAAAGAGAGAGAGAGAGAGAGAAAAGGATAACATCATTAACTTCAAGAAACACTGAAAAGATAAAAAGACATTAAAGAAAAAAGACGAGATAGAAAATAGAATAAATGGAAAATACAGAAAAAGAGGGAGAGAGAGAGAAAAAAAGAGGGAGAGAGAAAGAAAAGAAGAAAATATAGAAGGAATAAGAGTGATAGTAATAATACAGATAGTAAATGAATGAAAGAATGACTGATTGAAAGAGAGTAAAAATAAGCAGAACAATTGTAGGCAAAAAACGGTAAGCATATAAAAAAAAGTCAACATGAATAATGACTTTTAATAAAAATTGTTGTATGTAAGTATGTTTGCCCGTATGTATGTTTGCATGTATGTATGTTTGTATGTTTTTGTTTGTATGTTTTTGTTTGTTTGTTTGTATGTTTTTGTTTGTTTGTCTGTGTTTGTATTGAATGTTTGTTAACAAGAAGTTGTGTGTCGATAAAATAACGTGATAGTGCATGCAGAAAATTATGCAATGAAATGTTTGTTTGTATGTTTGTTTGTATGTATGTTTGTATGTTTGTATGTATGTTTGTATGTTTGTATGTATGTTTGTATGTTTGTATGTATGTTTGTATGTTTGTATGTATGTTTGTATGTATGTATGTAGACAGATTTGTATGTTTGTATGTATGTTCGTTCGATTAAAGAACTATTTTTAGCACTGATCGATTGAAATATTTCTGGTGCATAAAAAACATAGGATGTGTAAATATTAAAGTAGTAGTAGTAGTAGTAGTAGTAGCAGTAGCAGAAGCAGCAGTAGTAGTAGTAGTAGTAGCAGTAGCAGTAGCAGCAGCAGCAGCAGCAGTAGTAGTAGTAGTAGTAGTAGCAGTAGCAGCAGCAGCAGCAGTAGTAGTAGTAGTAGTAGTAGCAGCAGCAGCAGCAGTAGTAGTAGTTGGAATTTTCGCCCGTTTCTTATTTATGATTATTCGTGAGTATAGTTGATGTTTGGACACAATCAATAAAATGCGACGATGACGATGTGGATGCTGAAGTTACTGCAGTAGCTGCTGCAGCTGCTGCTGCTGCTGCTGATGGTGATGATGATAAAATTGATGATGATGATAATGTTGATGATGATGTTTTGTTGGTGATGATGATGACGACGAGGATGAAGAGAGGAGATTATGATGATGATGGCGGCGGTTACTAAATTGAAAATACGGGCTGTAAATGTAACTCTCTATATCAATAATAACAACAATAGCAATAGCAACAAGAAGTAACAAAGGTAACGCATAATTATTCACGTACCAATTTCATACAGGCCTCATTAACATACCGTACGATGTGTTTTTCGAGATGTTGTTGTTGTGGTTGTTGTGGTCGTTGTGGTTGCTTCTGCAGCTGCTTATGTCGTCGATGTTGATATTTGCTACTATGTTGTTGTTGTTGTTGTTGATGTTGATGTTGATGATGATGATGGAAATGATGATGATGATGTTGGTGAACTAACGTTGACTTAGATGACGATCTATTTCCATTAAACTGAAATTCTCCGCTACATTTCTGTCTGCCCCTATCACCACCACCACCACCACCACCACCACCATCATCATCAACAACATCATCATCATCATCACCACCACCATCATCATCGTCATCATCATCATTGTCAGAAACATAGAGTTGACCTATACCATTGTGACGGTTGGCGTAAAATTTATTATTATTATTATCGTTGTTGTTTTTGTTGTTTTTATTATTATTATTTTTTGAGCGTATGGGACACCAAAATTCTTCTGATCTAGTAGCTTTGTCCGTTAAAATTTCCATAAACAACTGGTAATGTTCAGCCAGCGGGTACCTTTGTATGTGGAGTGTGTGTTTGTATGTGTGTGTGTGTTTTTGTCTGTATGTGTATGTGTGTTTTTGTCTGTATGTGTGTGTGTGTTTGTATGTGTCTGTGTGTATTTTTGTTTGTGTGTGTGTTTGTGTGTGTATGGCCAGCCAAAGTAGCAATAACTGAAAATTTTAGACTTCAATTTATAAGACTCAGAATGAGAGTAGCCAATGAACCTAGGGAGAAGAGTATCTTAAATTTTGAGTCGGAATAGCTTGCAAGAAACATGTTTTCGCTGATTGGAGAAGGAAGGGTTGGTTGAAACGAAAGTTTTGAATTCATCTTTCTATCGGTACAACTTCGACTACCTCACTCACCAATTGAGAATCTCATGTTATCAATTTTCTCTTGGCGGAATTTCGCAAACTGTTCAGCCTGCTTAAATCATGAAACACTTCGTTGTCAGCTTATTTGCGGATGACGGTGTAACACACGTTCTGCAGATTTCTAGAACTCTCTTTGGATTCCTTTCACAAACTTTGAATGTTTGATTGTTTTAAAGATTTTGAATGTTTGGTTGTTTAACGGTTTTGAAGGGTTTTCTTGCTGTTAAATTGCTTGCGTTTTCCAGCAGAACCAAAAGTTTCGTTCCTCATAAAAACATTGGGCCATGCGTCTCTGTCATCTTGCAAAGTGTTTCTCTATATTTCAATTCTAACTCCCGGCAGGCAATGTCATTTAAGCTCATAATACTTCTTTATTTCACCAATCCAACTGAGTTGAAGATTCATCTTATCTGAAGTTTACACAAACCAACAAACAAGCAAACAAACAAACAAACAAATAAACACATAACCAACAAACAAACAAGCCAACATACAAACAAAAAAACCAACAAACTAACTAACAAACAAACTAACACACAAACAAACTAACAAACAAACAAACAAACTAACTAACTAACAAACAAACAAACAAACAAACAAACAAACAAACATACTTACATGCAAAACTCGGCTACGGTTTTATTAAACATCTTGACATTTTCATTGTGCACGGGGTTCCCAATGACGAAATCATTATCATCATTTGGCGGAAAGTTACCGTAAAAAGTAGGCCAAAGGTCAACCTTGTTAACGCCCACGTGTATTTTTAGCCCCGAATCACGTGACCAAACGAAGTCAGCCGATTGGTGGACGTTCGTGACGTAGATGGTGGTTTCAAGATGGCGGCTGTTCTGGAGGTCTTCGGCCACAATGTTCTCGGTTAGGGCAATTAGGGAGAAGGTGTTTCCGTCTGTGGTGTCGATGGTGAATGTGATGATGATGATGGTGATGATGATGATGATGATGTTAACGCTGATGATGATGATTATGATAATGCAGATAGTGATGATGAGGCTAACAGCAGTTCACGTAAAGCTTCAGATAGATGCCATCGTCATCATCATCATCACCATCATCATCACCATCATCATCATCATAGTTATCATTACTGTTACTATGATTATTATTAGTAGTAGTAGTAGTAGCAACAGAAACAGCAGCAGTGATAGTAGTGATGCCATCATAATTGTTCTTGATATTATTATTATAATTATTACTAAGGAAAGACAGAAAAATATTTTTAAAGTTCTTACTAATTGACACATTGACAAGTTTGATGACTGATGATGATGACGACGACGATGATGATGATGATGACGGTGATGATGATGATGATGAGATCTTCGTCATCATCATCATCGTCGTCGTCACCATAATTAGCGATAATGATGATGATACTTCTTACTGGAAAGATATAAAAAAGCGAAGATGAATTTTTTTGTCGGGAAGAAAATTTTTCAAAATAAAAAGTTGAGACTCTAAATTATAATGATCGTCATCATCATCATCATCATCATCATCATCACCATCATCATCACCATCATCATCATCGTCGTCGTCTTGACAAGCAAATGTCAAACGTTCATTCAATCTCATTTTTTTCATTTTAGAAATTCAATACAAGCGAAAAAATTATTATTATGATTAATAATAATAACAATATTATTATTATTGTTATAATTATAATTATTATTATTAGCAGTAGTAGTAGTAGTAGTAGTAGTAGTTGTAGTAGTAGTAGTAGTAGTAGTAGTAGTAGTAGTAGTAGTAGTAGTAGTAGTATTTTCCTCAATATCTTGATTGTATAAGCATACTTTTTATGGCTTACTCCTAATACTTCATCCGTATTGCTAGAATTTTCATCGGTATTGCTATTATTATTATTATTATTATTATTATTATTATTATTATTATTATTGGTTTTATTTTCATTGTTATTGTTAATTATTTCTGTTATTAAGAAGGCAATTGACTAATGTTGATTATTGTTAAAGGGCGCATAGAGCTGGAAATTCGATTGATGATGATGACGACGATGACGACGATGATGATGATGATGATGATGATGATGACGACGATGATGATGATGACAATAATCATCTATACGGTTACATCTATTTCATTTTACTTTCACCATTTCAAATAACCCGCCATCATCATCATCATCGTCGTTATTATCATCATCATCATTGTTATCATTATCATAAGCAGCAATAGCAGCAACAGCAGCAGTAGCAGCAGCTTCACCAGCCAGTCGTGCTTCGTTTAGATCACAGCAATTGTTCACGCCTTAGACCATGCAGAAAAACACACGTATGTAATAAAAAATAATAATTTGTCATCAACATCATCATCATCGCCGTCATCATCATCAACACCTTCATCATCATCATCATCGTCGTCATCATCATCAACACCTTCATCATCATCAACACCTTCATTGCCAATAACAATATTAATAATAATAGTAATAGCTCATAGCTTATTTAGCACGTATTCAACGATTAAACTTTTAAAAGCTCAATAAAAACCTCAACCACAGCAGTAATAATAATTAAAAACACCAATAATAATAATAATAATTATAATAAATAATATTAATAATAGTAATAATAATAACAACTTGCAGCTTGTTTAGTATGTATTAAAGCTCCTATGTTATAAAACTGCAATAAAAATTTCTAGATGGAAATGAGATGCGAGGTTTAATTAATTAAATGTTGTTATTATTATTATTATTATTGTTGTTGTTGTTGTTGTTGTTATTACTATTATTATTATTTTTGCTGTTGTTGTTGTTGTTGTTGCTGCTGCTGTTGTTGTTGTTGTTGTTGTTTTCATTATTCTTCCACTTTCAATTCGTTATTCATGATTTATACGGTTGCACCTAGATTCCGTATAACTATTATTATGATTATCATTATTATTATGATTATTACTTTATTATTATCATTATTGTTAGTATTATTATTAATATTATTATTAGTTGTTATAGTAGTAGTAGTTGTAGAAGTAGTAATCTACCTCAGGTATAATTATAATTAAATTAAGTTTTAATGACAATGAGAAATCGAAAGATTTTTTCGGTAAAAAAAAAATAAATTAGTGGTAATAATAAAAATAATAATAATAACATTAAACGGGGCGATGGTGTAGCGGTAAAGTGCCTGGAACTGCAATCACATTGACCGGGTTCAACTGCAAGAAGACTCAATGTTTGTGTGGTGCTTTGATTAACGTGCCTTGATATACATAGGCTGTGTGTTTGTTGTCGTTAATACTTTTGGAAATTATTAAAAGGGGGTTGCTATGAAATCATCATCAAGTGCATTGGCAACAACGGCACGCCGACGATGAATCGCCGGCGCTGGCCACAGCAGCAGCCGTAGCAGCCGCGACGACAACAGCCACATAAACAACAACATCAACAGCCAGCTGTGACAGAAACAAATTTATTTATTCTCAAAGGGTTCCCCCTAAAATGCGAAACCGAGAAATACAAAAAGACATAAACATACAAAAAAATACACCGCAGTACATACACTGCAACAAACAAACCTATACTGAAATATACAAAGCAGATACTACTTGAGATGCAAATATACAATGATAGGAAATACAATACAGCGATAGGCAAAACTATAAAAGGAAAGCTACAGAAAAACTAACCTCATGTATGCACAAAAAAATCTAAAGTGCATTTGAAAAGCATACTAAGACAAGAACAAACAAAAAAAAACGCTCGACAGATACAAAACTCATACAAAAATACCAGAGAATACAGAAAAGTACAGCCATAAACATACACGGATTGATACAAAAATATTGTTTGGGTTCACGCATGCGTAAAAAGAGACAAAGACAACTCAAGCCCCAAAAAAATGGAAAACCCAGAAAAACTTAAACAAGAACAAAAAATGATTCTAAACAAAATTGAAATGGCACCCCTTTGAAACTATCACCTGTGTTCTCCTCAGTTCGCAAACGACATCTAATTAATCTCAAAAACTTCAACTGCAATTGTATATCTTTTTTAATTTTTTTGGTTTTTTGTTTTTTTTATAAACATTGTTTCAAGCTGCCATTGCTATTCAGTTGCTGAGACACTGATCGCCAAACGATGACACGGACGAAGACGACGAAGAAGAAGATGATGATGATGCTGGTGATGGTGATAATGATGGTGTTTTACCTAGCGATAATTGGAAAATTAGTAGTTAACAATGTTTATGTTAAAGTCACGTGCGGTTGTTTTTATTTTTTGTTGTTGTTGTTGTGGGGGTGGTGGCTTTTTATTCTTTGGGGTTTTCTGTTAAAGTTCCTTTGTAGTTGTTGTTGACCGTAATTATTATTTCTATGTTTTAATTTTTTTAATTTATCTATCTATGCAATGTTTTTAATAAATTTTTTTTTCATTGCTTACATTTTTTCTGTCCGCGATAATGTTTATTTTTGTTTTTTGCCATAGATAATTCACAATTGCAATAGTAATTTATCCATGTTATGATGGTGATATATCTATGCTATTTGTTGTCTATGACTCTTAGTTTTCTATGGTATCTACAAGTTATTTTAGTTGATTTAGTAGTAGCTACAACAGTTGCAGCATTAGTAGAAGTAGTCGCCGTAGTATTAATAGTAGATTTTGTTGTTTATGTGTAAGCTGATGTCATATTGTCAATAGCAATGTTGATGATTATGTAATTATTATCATTATTGTTGTTGTTGTTTGTTGTTGTTGTTGTTTGTTGTTGTTGTCTACGTCATAAAAAAAAACACCAAATATGATCATTTTTTCCAAGTTGAAATGAGTTATGACCAGTTGCAGGTTTGTTGTTGTTGTTATTGTTGTTGTTGATGTTGTTGTTGTTGTTGTTGCTGCTGTTGATGCTGTTGTTGTTGTTGCTGCTGTTGTCATATTGCTGATGATCTGATGATGATAAGGTTCATGATGATAATGATGACGACGTTGATGATGATGATGATGTTGTTGTTTTTGTAAAATTTTGTAAAAAAAAATTTAAAAATTTTTTCGTTCGCGAAAAGTTTTGAGAGTTATAGACAAGATTGAGAGCAAAAGCAAATAAAAAATAATAATAACAATAAAAACACAATAATAATAATAACATCAACAAAAACAAATAAATGAAAAAATTTAAGAAAAGTGTCGAATTGAGAATTTAAAAAGCACAACAAAACGATTGGTCGATACATTTCAAATGTTTTCTAAAAAGTGAGAGAGAGAAAGAAAGAGAAAAAAAAGAGAGAAAAAGAGAGAGAAAGAGAAGACAAAATAAATATAACTGAGAAAAGATAAAAGAGAGAGAGAGGGAGAGAGAGAGAGAGTGAAATGAAGAAATCGAAGAAAATTTTAAATACAAATAAATTTGAAAAAGGAAGAGATGAGTTAAGCATATTTTGTGGGTGAATAAGACAAGAAGAACTGAAGAGTGTGAAAAAGAGGATGAAAATAAAAAGTGAAAGAGAGAAAGAGAGAGAAATAGAATGAGATAGAGAGAAAGAAAGAACGAGAGAGAGAGAGAGAAAGAGAGAGAAAGAAATAACGAAGACAAAAAATGAAAAAATTGACAAAATTAAAGAGAGTTAGAGATAAAACTGGAAAAAAATTAAGTGGGGAAAAAGGGAGGGAAAAAAATGAGAATGAAAGAAAAGGAAGAAGACAAATGAAAGTGTTCTCAATCACGAACAACTAGCCCTGCCTCCATCATTCATTTATCTGTCCATTCGTCAATCCATCCATCCGCTCGTAAAAACATCCATCCATCCGTTTATCAGTCTACGAATTCATTTTTTTACATTCGTTCGTTCGTTCGTTCGTTCGTTCGTTCGTTCATTTGTTCGTTTGTCCGTTCATTCATTCATTCATTCATTCATTCATTCATCTATTCACCCGATCCATTTTGCCATATGTGTATTTTCTCACTCGATTCGCAATTTTGAAAAACTCTGGAACAAAATTTGTTATAAAATTATCTACAATGGAAAAATAGTTTTGAAACATGTGTTTAATGGGTGAGGATAACAGATAGATAGATGGACAGATAGAAAAAGAGAGAGAAAGAATGAGAAAGAGAAAGAGAGAAAGAGTTAGATAGATAAAGAGTCAGAAAGGAAAAACATAGACAGGATGAAAACTAGATGAAATTTAAAAAAAAAAACAAGAAAAAAGAAAAATGAAAAGAAACAAAACAATAAAACCAAAAAAAGAGAAAGAAAGAGGAAAATGGATAGGCAGAAAAAAACCACCCTTTTATAAACACTTGAGTCTTTTTTTTAGAGAACTCGGTTCGTAAAATTTGCGGGAAAAAATTTAGCGGAAAAAATAATCCTCAAAAAAACCAAATAAAAAATATTATTTTGCGATTAATATATGTGTTAAAAATGTGAAAATAAAACAATTCATTCGCCTTTCAGGAAAAAATGCAGTCGTAAAATCTTTTTCTTCTATCCTTCCCCCTTCTTATCTTCCTTATATTCATTCCTTGTATATTGTATTACTTTTTGCGCATTTTTTTCTGTTTTTGTTTTTTTAACTCACTCTAACTCTTTCTCTATCTCTCTTTCTCTTTCTCTCTCTCTCTCTT